AAAAAAAAAAAAAAAAAAAAAACAAAACTTGGCTCCTCCATTATTTGTTAACTACAAAACCTCTCTCTGCCTTGATTTTCTTATCTGTAAAATGGAGTGATTAATTGTAACTGATGGGTTAATTATTCTGAGACAGTTATAATTAATATAAACCATTTTGTTTAGTATCTGGCCCATAGTAAGCAAACCAGAAATATATGCTATTATCCCATTCATTTATAAATAAAGATAACTTGGGTTAAGGTAGTTTGACTTATTCTATAATTTCACCCAGTTAGAAACAATATAACTATCAAATATGCATGTATAAACAAAGTAAATTTGCATTTAGCATTACTCATATTACCATTATTTGACTACCTTATCTCTATGAGGAGCTTTGATAAAAATTGTTTTCTTTGAGGCTGAGGATGTGGCTCCATCACCAGTGCCAAAACAAAAACCAAAAAAATTCTCTCCCCAGGCTTTTGATAATAAAATAAGGTTTATTGATTTGATAATAAACAAAAGACTTAACAGTCCAGGGGATAATGAATTTAGAGTAAGAGTTGGGATGCTGTTGTGGCTGTTAGCGATGTGACAGAGGGATGCACCAAGCTTTGCCAACCCCCCAACTGTATTCAGTGCTAACTCAAATGACACATGGAACATGCATCACAGAATTGTTAAGGTATGTGTTTTTATAATAACTTCTGTTCGGTAGGGAATAAGGTTAAGGAGCCTGGCCTTGTTGATACTATAATTGTTTCAGTGTAGCTTGTCAAAACCAGAGGCAATGAAAGAGAAGACTTATTAATAAATTCCCATCTGCCTGAACCAGTGGTGGTACATGTTTGACTGTTCCATCAGGAAGCTTGTGCCACTAGTGATACAAGCAGATCTAATCACTTTTATCAGTCTTTTTGCTAATAGAATAGTAATCTGCCTGATGGGACAGTCAGTAAGCCATACAAATGACAACCTTTTTGTGAACATGTTAAAGGACATGCACTTAGATTCTTTTTTTTTTTTTTTTTTGGTACTAGGGATCAAACTCAGAACCTTGCACTTGCGAGGCAGGTGGTGGCACCACTGAGCTAAATCCCCAGCCCACACCTAGATTCTTAAATGAGAGGCAAATTTCGAAGCATTGGGCTGGTCCCTTTCGGGGAAGGCATCACTTGTAACAAAGACTATATGCTGAATTCTGTGTGTGCTGTACTTCAGTTATCTATGTGAGTCACATCAAGGTTTCATTTCTCCTATACCTTGTCCTTTTGTTTTTTCGGTGGTTTTTTTTTTTGTTTGTTTGTTTGTTTGTTTTGAGACAGGATCTCACCAAGTTGCCTAGTCTGGCATCCAGCTTGGTATCCTTCTACTTCAGCCTCTCAGAGTGCAGGGATTAAAGGTGAGCACCAGTATGCCAGGACAAAGGTTATGATTCCCAACTGGAAACAGAGCCCAGACCACCACAGTGAAGGTGCTAAGTCTAAGCTACTAGACCACAGTGGGTTCCATTCTCTGCCATCTTCCTCCTTCCCCAAAATGTATCATTCACAAATATTTCAGAATGTCACATCTAGTAAAGGACTCATTTTTAAACAATATAACTGGGATACCATTACTACATCTAGAAGTTTTAACAATTTATTAATATTATTGCCAGATGGGGCCAGGGATTTGGTTCAGTGGTTCTGCCACCTGCCTTGCAAGCACAAGGGCCCAAGTTCAATCCCTGGCACCCCAAGTAAAATAAAAAACACAAATCATTAAAAAAAATTATTGCCAGGTGTGGTGGCACATGCCTATAATCTTAGCCCTCAGGAGACTAAAGCAGGAGGATCGCTGTGAGTTTGAGGCCAGCCTGGGATACATAGTGAGTTCATTGTCAGCCTGAACTACATAGCAAGACTCTGTCTCAAAAAACCCAACTATATTTATAATATAATTAATATCTACACAGTTCATCAGTTTTCCCAGTTATCTCAAAAGTTTTTTTTTAAACAACTTCGTAGCTTGAATCAGTATCGAAATGTCCATCTCAACTTATCTCTCTTTAAAATGGCTGCATTGAGA